CTAGATGACCCACAGAGGTCCCTTCCAACCCCTACTATTCTGTGATTCTGTGATTCTGTCTGAAGCCAGCAGAGCAGAGGGGATAAGAGCCAGCATCTCCGCTGCATAAATCCAGCTCAATTAAATTGCTGTGGTTTCTCTAACAGGACGATTTTCTGGCAGGTGAGGAGGAAAGTGAAGCCATAACCTAGCACAGAGCTGAGAGACGTCACCGAGCACCCAGAGCACTGCAGCTTGGCTCAGCAACCCCACCTAGCCCCAGCCACCCTTTCATTTTCACTTGGGCCCTGCACAAGGCCGGGTGCCCGGCCCACGCACCACGGAAAGGGAAAGAATACGGAGCGCGTTTTTCATTCGCGCTTTTGGGAGCTGCCGCCAAAGCGGATTCACCCACGAGCCGGTCACCAGCACACTCAGGGGAGGGAAGAAGAACGTCCAAAAGGGGCTGTGACTGTTGCCTCACTGAAATAGGGAGATATTTTAATCCGGTTTCACAGCAATACGAGGGTGGGGAAGCTCTAGGGAAATGATGCTCCTGGTGGAATTCAATACCAAACTGCTCACGGCCACAACTCAACCATCTCATCTTCCTCAACTCCTCCAGAGAGCCCAGCTCCGCTGCGCTTGGCAGGACACACGTTCCAAGCCTCAGTGGCTGCAAACACGGTGTAATGCACCAGAACAAGCAGTTATCATGGATCCCAGTAAAAAAGGCACATAGACTCTGTAAAGTATTGATTAAAGTTAGAGATAACACCAAGCTGGGTGGGAGTGTTGGTGTGCTTGAGGGTAGGAAGGCTCCGCAGAGGGGTCTGGACAGCCTGGAGCGATGGGCTGAGGCCAACTGCGTGACGTTCAACAAGGCCAAGTGCTGGGTCCTGCCCTTGGGTCACACCAACCCCACGCAGCGCTCCAGGCTTGGGGAGGAGTGGCTGGAGAGCTGCCTGGCAGAAAAGGCCCTGGGGGTGCTGGTCGACAGCCAGCTGAACAGGAGCCAGCAGTGGGTCCAGAGAAGGGCAGCGAGGCTGGGGAGGGGGCTGGAGAACAATTCTGATGAGGAGCGGCTGAGGGAGCTGGGGCTGTTTAGTCTGGAGAAGAGGAGGCGGAGGGGAGACCTTCTCGCTCTCTGCAGCTCCCTGACAGGAGGGTGCAGTGAGAGGGGGTTGGTCTCTTCTCCCCAGTAACGAGGAATAGGATGAGAGGCAATGGCCTCCAGTTGCGTACAGGGAGGTTTAGATTGGATATTGGGAAAAATTTCTTTCCTGAGAGTGGTCAGGCATGTGACCAGGCTGCCCAGGGTGGTGGGGGAGTCCCCATCCCTGGAGGGGTTCAAACACCGTGTGGATGTGGCACCTGGGGACATGGTTTAGCAGGCATGGGGGTGTTGGGGTGATGGTTGGACTTGATGATCTTAGAGGTCTTTTCCAACCTATGATTCTATAAAAATATCTTTTTATGGGGAGACCAGGAGAAGAAAAAAGGGATAGCATAGGTAAGCTTATGTCCCTTCAGACGCTGGGAACCTCAAGATGAGCTGGAGCACAAACAGATGTGTGTCCCAACCAGAGGTTCAACTGATGCTGATGTTCGGGATTACCTGCACGTGAAGGGTGTCTCTGCTATCCCATTTTTTTCTTCTCATGTCGTTACCAATAAAAGACATTTTAATCAATACTTTAGAGAGTCAGAGTGTTTTTCTTAGAGGAATCCACAACAAGCACTTGCTCCAGTACGTTACGTGCAGGAAGTTGCACATCAGTGGGCAACTCCTATGAGGACAGGCTGAGAGAGTTGGGCTTGTTCAGCCTGGAGAAGAGAAGGCTGCAGGGAGACCTGATTGCAGCCTTCCAGTACTTAAAGGGAGCCTATAGGAAAGATGGGGACAATCTTTTTAGTAGAGACAGCAGTGACAGGACGAGGGGTAATGGTTTTAAACTAAAACAGGGTAGGTTTAGGCTGGATATAAGGAAGAAATTCTTTACAATGAGGGTGGTGAAACACTGGAACGGGTTGCCCAGAGAGGTAGTGGAGGCCCCATCCCTGGAAACATTCAAGACCAGGTTGGACAGGGCTCTGAGCAACCTGATCTAGTTAGTGGTGTCCCTGGTCTCTACGGGGGGGTTGGACTAGATGACCTCTAGGGGTCCCTTCCGACCCAAAACTTTCTATGATTCTATGATTCTATAATTCTTCAGCAGTGCCGCACAGCAACAGCACTTCCAGGCATTTCATGGGCCGCTACCACCTTGCAGCGAGGGAGGGATGTGCCCAGCCTGCTGCGAGTTTGTGGCCACCAGTTTACAACTCTGAATCTACAGGAAGCATCAAATGTGAGAGAAGAACCACCAGCAGCAAAGCCAAAGCCAAACCAAGCACAAATCCCAGCAGAGACGCAGGTGCTGTGCTCCGCAGGGGTGAAGTTCACCGCTTGGAGTCACAAGGAGACGTGATGATCACACTGGGAACAAAAAGACTCCCGTGTGCTGGAAAAAAGCCTTATCAGATCATATATGTCAAGGGAAATTCTCCATTAAAAAAAGGAAAAATCTCAACATCTGCAGAGCTCCTGGAAGTTTCGGCAGCGTAACTGTGAGTATCTAGCTGAGTGGGGGCTATTTTTCAGCCGCGAGGGAGAAAGGCAGGCACGTGGCAGCTTGTGTCTTTTGCTTAGTAATTATCATTTTGGCATTGGGGCACTTTGCTTCTGCTTTCTTAATAGATAAGATCCCCTTGCAATCCTCGTCCAGCGTACCATTCGCAATGCAAGGGGGAAAATCATTAATAAACACAATAAAATAATTTCATCTGGCATAAAAGTAACTAAAGAAGAGGTTTGCCTGGTATAATGCCTTCTGCTCAGCAGGGCATGCTCACCCTAGAAATCAGTTCCCAGCTCATAGTGGGTAATCTTCAGTTAACAGTTTATACACAGAAAGACTAAACTACGTTTGAGAATAACAAAGCAGGAAAATAATACTTAAAGCAGGGAAATTCATTACATTTTGCATTAGTTCAGAATCTGCGAATAATGTTACCAAAAGTTTCAAGAGATCACTTAAAAGTCCACTTTCTTCCCAGCACGACAATGTTTTAAAATACTTACCAAGTCCTTGTCCTTCAAATTTTCTACTAACTGATCCATTTTATATTGATCCTTATTTGATATTTCTACTTCATACAGGCTGAAGTAAACACCCTGAAAGCAGACTGCAGACAAAAGAGAGAGAATTTGATGTTGAAATAGTGCCTCTCGCATCAACTCTGAACAAACAAGTGCTCCCGTACCAGGAAGATGCGTGTGCAATTGATGGAAGCACTGGTCTAAGCTGGTACAGAATCACAGATTCATAGAATGGTTTGGGTTGGAAGGGACCTTAAAGATCATCTGGTTCCAACCCCCCTGCCATCAGCAGGGACATCTTCCACCAGACCAGGGTGCTCAGAGCTCCATCCAGCCTGGCCTTCAACACTGCCAGGGAGGGGGCAGCCACAGCTTCTCTGGGCATCCTGGGCCAGGGCCTCACCACCCTCATGGGGAAGAATTTCTTCCTAATATCTAATCGAAATCTGCCCTCTTTTAGTTTAGAGCCATTCTCCCTTGTCCTATCACTACACACCCTTGTGAAAAGCCCCTCTCCATCCTTCCTGTAGGCCCCTTCAGGTACTGGCAGCTGCTCTAAGGTCACCCCGGAGCCTTCTCTTCTCCAGGCTGAACAGCCCCCACTCCCTCAGCCTGTCCTCGTAGGAGAGGTGCTCCAGCCCTTGGATCATCTTCGTGGCCCTCCTCTGGACCCGCTCCAACACATCCATGTCCTTCTTCTGTTGGGGGCTCCAGAGCTGGACGCAGGACTCCAGGTGGGGTCTCACGAGAGCAGAGTAAAGGGGCAGAATCCCCTCCCTCGCCCTGCTGGCCACGCTTCTCTTGATGCAGCCCAGGATATGGTTGGCTTTCAGGGCTGCAAGCGCACATTGCCCGCTCATGTTGAGCTTCTCATCCACCAGTACCCCCGAGTACTGGTGGATGAGTATACGCATTCATATCGCAGTGAGTTTCATATCGCAGTGAGATCCCTCTTCAACCCATGGTTCACAGGAGATGTTTCCTATCTTATCTCCACAGCTAATGAAAGCAATTTAACCAATGCTGTGTGCTTCAGCAGAGACAGGGAGCCTTTTAGAGGGAAATGTTTCATCCTAACACGCCATATTCTCCCCTGCTATGGAGCATCCTTATTCCACACTCTGATCCCCAAAGGAGTTTAACAAAGGCAAGACCTTGGACCCACCTTACCCCTCCAAATTTGACAGCAAAATTCTTCTGTTCAAGTATTTCCTCTCTTTCACCAGCTGATCTTAAGACTGTGGCTCCACAGAACCTTCATCAAGAGTTGCTGTGGCCTCTCCCACTTCTCCTGCCTCCTCCCCTGCCCTCGCACTATCCTGTGTCCATCTGAACTGTAAGCTAAATGCTAACCCCCAAAACAGGAATGTTTTGGCTGCCAGCCGACCCGATCAGTGCCTCGACCTGGCTCAGTAGAGCTGATCCACAGATGGGAGGTAACACTGCAGCAATCCACACTTATTTTGGTGCAAGACGACACGAAAATGCACCTGGAACTTCTGGAAATCACATCCAGAGCTTTCCACGTGCAGCCTGCGGTACTCGTCTCAGTAACTGCGCGTTCGCTGTAACGTGCAGCCACTCACAGCCATCGGGAGCTCAACACCTCGGGGCTGAGAGCTGCCAGGCTCGTCAAAACTCCAGCCCAAAAATCAATCAGCAGTATGAACCCCAAAGTGTAGTTAGACACAGGGCTCCTCCTCCCCGCCCCGCACTTACCAGGGCAGAGAGTGGCTGACTATAAGCAAGTGAGGTCTTTTAGCACCACTAAGAGGACAGTAGAGTCTTTCCCTCCCTTCCCCAAATCTATGCTTTTATTTGCCAATTGCTGGGCATTCCCTGCCTCTCCCCAAGAGCTCTGGACTCCTCTCCCCTCTCACACTGTCATTCACCGTCAGTCCCTTGAAGCAGGTGACCCATAGCAACTTGCAGAGCTGCTGCAGGCAGCCACATCTTCTGGCTTTGGCTGGCAGCAACCCTCCATCTGCCCAGATGCAGGAGATGCTGGATCATACCCTAAGAGATGGAGTGTCCCTCACCTCGTAGGGAGATCATGTAAGCAGGGGAAAGTCTGTCTCCCTGCATCTGCTTTCAGTTCCACCATATTTGGCACCTCTCAGGATGGAACCCCAGGTCTCAAAACAGGGTCTCCCAACCTGTCCTGTCTCAGGAACGGGCTGATTCAAGGGCTGCTTTGGGAAGGGGATTGTATCAAACCGGGAGACCATACGAAGTGCGGACAGGAAAACATCCCTGTGCTGCCTTGGCATTTTTCCTCCTTTATCTGCAATCAGCCACCCTTCAAGACAGGACCTAGTGCTACGTGTACGTGAGCTCTGGCAATTCCTGTGGCACAGCACAAGCCTATGTTACTCACCACGCCAGCAGGTTTTGCGCTTACCTTCATTCTCAATGTAATTTCTTTTCCCAAATGCAGCTTCCGGTAGCTTTTTCTTCAAGTCGGACAAACCCATGACATAGTTAATGTCCAGGTTGGGAGGCCTGTGGGGATAACAACAGACAGTGAGATCACAAGCATAAAAGGCTCTCAGGATTAAGCACAGCAAAGAGCCCTGGCTGCCCTCTCACTGTGAAACCAGAGAAAGCAGCAACGGAGAAGGCTGGAGAAGGTGCAGCTTGCTTAGCACTTTGCTGATTTGAGGATCCTGTTGGTAAACACCCCCAAACACTGATATTCGTGGCTGTTTCAAATTGCTGCCTGCTGGCTGGCTTCTGACTACTGAAGATTTTAAATATCTCATTTTTTTGAATGCTAGTTACCTCAATACTTTATTTGCCATCGCGCCGATCTGTAAACACACCCGACTGATCGTACACATGCCATCAGGAAGCCCACTTCTCCAAAGGAGAAAAATCCCAAGCAGGAATCATTGATTTGGAATCAACTTCCCAAAGCAGTTAACAAAAAGAGATGACAAAACACAGCCGTTTCCCAGCTGCAGTTCAGGGCCTGATCTCATGTCCTCATCCAGCTGTTGCTGTGACACTGCACCGCTGGCTGCCCAGCACCACTCTCCTGACACCAATGATTGGCCCGACAGCGCAGGTGGTAAGCTGGTACAGCTGCAAGAAGATGCTCCTCATAGAAAGGATAGGGCAGGAGAGACAAAACTGGATTTCTCCGGTAAACAGACACCCAAAGGTGCAACGCTTCACCCTCCACAAATCGCACGGAAAGAAGAGAAAGGTGCGACTTACAGCTGGGCTGGAATTGTGGAGCTGTACGGGGTCCTCAGGGCGATGTTGCACAAGAGCTGGCCCCGGATGGAGAGCTGCCCCCTCCATGGACAGTACAACGCTACAGGCAAAAGGGAGAACGGCTCAGGGAAAACAGGACAGGAGAGGAGGGCAAACAGAGAAAGGTACACGTGTAAAACAAAAACAGTCATCAGGCGCTCCTACCTTTGTGATTAAGCTCAGGTCTAGAGAAAAGGGAGACAAAGAGGAACATTTAGCAACGGGAAAAGGAAAAACAGCCCACAAAAGCCACCGGGTATTTTGGAACGACAGCAAGTTGCTTACAGGCTCTCTATAGCTAAGACGGGCATTTCCTTCGGCTCCCTGTACTGGCAGGCGATGACCATGTACGGGCAGATCTGCCTGGGCCGCTCGGCAGTGCTGCCATCGGACACTTCGTACACGTAATACTGGGGTGAGAAGGGAAAGACAGATGAAAAAACAAGGTGAGGAACGAGCGAGGCACCTGGGCCAGCAGCGTGTTCGCCTGCAGCCTGCAAGCAAGCGGTCTGCACAGTCCCGTTGCAAACCTATACCTGGCTTTGCTCGAAGGCCTGGCAGGGGCTGCTCTCTGATGCTGTGCTGCTTCTGCTCATGGCGACGTGGCAGTCATAGCCGGGAGACGGGCAGGTATAGCTGGTAGTGTAATTCTCAGATACCACCTTGACCTTTCCCTGCACCAGAAAATTTACCAAAAAAAAACCAACCCAACACATAATTATTTGCAGAAATGTATTTTAAGAGACCCCTGAACCCTCCTTTTCCCCTAAAGACAGTGTTGCTGGCAGCCCCACACGCCCTACCACTGTGAGGGGGTTGTGTGCGTTTGTGTCCTTCCAAACATGAGGGCCTGACTTGGCTGAGTTTGGCATGGCAGACAAATCTGTGCTGCTCGGGAGAGCAAACGGGTGCAGCGTGTTTTCGGTGCCAGCCACAGAGAGCAGGAGCCAGTGGGCAGGGGAGAAAGGGGCCACACGCCAGCCCCATGGAGGAAAAGAATGGGGCGGTGATCTGAACAACCTTAGGGCTCCCCGCTTCAAACTCCCAAAATGCACGAGAGTCCAGGGAAAAAGGTGACCCTATGGGGAATTTCTGATCTCAGCGGTGGAACTGGAAGGTCCTCTGTATCCTCTGCTGTCCTGCAGGCCACCAGTCAAGCCCAGTTTGATCTCTTGCTTTCTAGCTTAATACATCCCATAGTCAAAAATTCCGACAAGCTCTTAACACAGCTGATTTTACACCCCACCAATGATGGGCACCAATGACTACTTAAAAACTGCTTGCTCTGTATAGCAGCTTGTGAAAACCATTCCACATAAGAAGAAAGACTTGCATTTTACCTTAATTAGCTTAAAAATGACAATATAGCCTGATTCTCCATGATACCAGGGTCTCGGATGAAGACAGTCTGCATACTTGGAAACATAAACGCCTGTTAAAACAAAGCAATGCAGAATAATGTGAATCATCTGTCGAGTAAAGCCGATTGCCAAAAAAACCCTGTAAAGAGGACCCTCCTCGAGGAAATGGGAGTCTCTGCAGAGCCAGTGCTGCAAACCAGAGTAGTGCTCGCTGCCAGAAAGAGGGTGAAACTCTTTCTGACTCTTTTCCTTTCTTTTGACTGCTGGTATAGAACGGCATTGTATGTTTCGGGGTCAGCTCTAGGAAAGGAGTGAACTTGTGTTTCTCCTGGGAGAAGCAGCCCAGCTAATGCCAGTTTTGCCCACATTACATGAAAACATAGTGAGCAAGGGTTTATCTCTTACAGGAAGATCTGGTGAAGGGCTTCCAGGTCAGACTGTAAGTGGGGCAGGTACTTTGCTCAATTTGGAGTCATGCAAAGGCAATGTGGATGTTCATATGTGGGGAACACAAGCTGTGGGGGCACAAGAGCAGGCCCATGGCATGGCACAGACCCTCCCATGCCCCTTCCTTGGCTCTTTATGGCCCTTAAGTGTCCAAGAAACCAACATAAACCTTCTACCCTGTGACAAGGCCCACTTTGATATGGCTCATTCCCATCCCTTCTCCGTGCCCAGGGCATATCACGTGTTGATTTATTGTGGGGTGGGGGGGTTGGCTCTTCACTCCTGCTTTATACTTGTAGACCAGACGGGCAAAGAAGTACAAGGGGTGAAACAGGGACTGGGCAGGGGAAGGGCTACAAAGAGACACACCATAATATTCATCTCAGTCGATCCGGACTAATATATATATATATACCCAGATAAATAACCAGTTCTTGCTTGGTTTTGCATTCACTGCCATTAGCTGCTCAATAATTAGGTGTCTTGGCCTGCAAAGACTTGCGGGATGAGCACCGGGAGACGTTCTGCTTCTGGCAGAAGGATTTGTTTGAGTAACGTGTCCTGCATTGCACGTCTTGAGGCCCCAGACCTTTGGGCAAGGAACAAGCACAGACTGAAAAGGGCTTCGACATGTCACGATCTGCTCTGGTTATTAACAGCACCGTTGGCAAAAGCGCAGCAGTCTCCGAAGAGCAAACCGGTGGGGAGAGCTGCCAAAAAGCCACTTTGGTGACAAAGGTTGTTATTAACAAGGGAGAAAAAGCGTGAAATGGAGAGGTGAAGAGACGATAACAATCCCTGGGGAAGATCCCATCCTCATCTGGTTGAGGGGGCAGAGGGAAAACACTGCTGCTTGCTTGACCCAAACAAATGCAGTTTCCCATGTCAAAAACACGGGAGTTTCCGTGGATTTTTATATTAAATAACAAGGCAGTACCAGGAGTTTGTCAGGCCTGTTGCTTTTGTTTTTAAAGGAGTCAGTATCCCCAGAATAGTGAACAGGTCTCTTGGTCCTCTGAATGGAAATCTTACCTTTCGCTGGGTCACCAAGCGTGGAAATGGAACTGCTGTTTACACGGAGGCCCGTCTGACACACCTCTTTTGCCTTCAAAAGAAGAGACAGCCTCTTTTACCATCTATTTTCAAAGACAGGGGACAGAGCTACTGGAATCTGTAGCACGACAGCTGGCAAAATACTTGCAACAGGCAAACATGTGCTGCAAGTCAATTACAGACCTTTACAGTCCCCAAACACCCGCGGTATAAAGAAAACTAAACACAATGTCCACAGGAAGAGAATCTGTAGTTTCAGATACTAAATACTTGTATTTATCAAGTGTTGCTACAAACACCTCCATGGAGGCAAAAGCTTTGAAAAATCTGGAAAAAATCCAACATCTCCAGAAACGACGACAAGCGCAAGGCTGGACTTTGCACTTTCTTTATCTGCATGGGCAATCTGTGGAAAAATAAATGCAACGGGGCTGGTGTGAAGGCGAAAAAAACATTTGCTACTCTGTGCTCACTCCTCCATAGGCACAATTACTACCATGGGAGCATCTCACCAGCTTTCATTTAATCCACGTCCAAAGCTGATTCATCAAAGTGTGCAAAGCCCAGATATATATTGACTGAAGAGCGACAACAGGAGCAGTTTGAACTCATTACAGGCGAGAAATAAAAGCAAACCAGTCAAACTGCAGTCAGTTCCTTTGGAAGCAACATGGGGCACTCATCACACCTAACTTCTGCCTCCTAAATGGTAAACGTTTAGCCAGCTAGACTTCTCTGAACAACAGAGAGAGAAGCACCTCCTGAGAGCGATTTTAGCCCAAGGATTTTAGATACCTGCATTAAATGAGGTCCAACTGTCCTTGGAGAGCTGCCTCTTTCCTAGGGACTCTACAAGGAGCTCAGTCACTTGGCACAGACTGTGCTAAATTTCAAACAGCCAAAATGAAGCGGGAAAATTCACGCACTCAAACTGAGACTGAAAGTGGTTTATTTCAGTGTAGCTCAATCCAAACTCATTAAATCACATTAACAGTGAATTCCCACTAGATTCTCTGAGCATCCTTGTGTAGACAAACTCTCTTCACAAAATCAAAAGCATCCTTGTGAAAAATGGGCAGGAATAACTTTCCCAACAGCTGTGTCAGGCTCTCTCTCCACCCAGCTGGCAAAAACAAGGGAACTTGCCCCAAACCACCTGACAAACTCCTGTCTTCTGTCACAAAGGCACTTTTCTCAGCATACATGAAAGGTTTCACTTGCCTGTACTTGACCATAAAACCACTGGGACAAAGGCAGACTCCTTCTGTCTCCCTGCAGAAGGCAAAGAAGGCAGCCAAATCTCAAATAGTGATTGACTGGAGAGACGCAAGAGAAGATCCACCACTAAAACCTCCCAGAGCTGCTTTCAGAACTTGCTCTGGACTATTTATACAGTAGTAACTGCACTGGTGACCGGGCTACAGAGAGCCAGGACTTTTCAGTCAACAGATCAGCTGGGCTTTGGTGGGACAGCACACTTGGCATCAAACTTCTTAAGCAGAATAAACATTTCAGGTTACCTCTTCTTCATTATCAAACAGGAGAAATGCAAAGGTCTCCTCCAGCTCCTCCCAGCTGTACCCAGCGGCTTCCTTTGCTTGGGCAAAAGCTTTGAGCTGCAGAAGATACAACAACACTTTGCTTTAGTCTGTTTGTGACTACAGATTTATTACATTTTTCTCCCTACAGAAGGGGAGATGCTTGGAGGCACCTCTCTCTCTCCACTGGCCAGGGTAGCCTAGACTATTTGACTAGAGGGCAGGCGCTATCATGCAGCTACAGCTCAGAGGGTTTGGCTACAGCCAAATAACACATTACTCCAATTTCTTTTTCTGATAATTAAAGCAGAGCATGTTCTCAGCACAGACAGGGAGAACATCACGGGAGCAAACAGAGCCGGGTCTGAGTCCATGAAGTTTTCGGGCTTTAATAAAAAAAGTTGCAAAAGGATGGGATTTTTTAAACAGGGTTAGAACACAAGAAAACAATAATCTCATCACTGCTTTTGCTTATTTTGGCTTTAGAACTCACAGGCAAATCAACAAATGACTTGATACCTGCTTTCCCAGTTTTTTATCCAGCTCCACGGTGACTATCCCAGTTTTAGGCAAAATGTCTAAGCTCTATTTAATTCATGACAACCAGCAGACTGGTCATCTCCAGTCCCCAGGGAAGACAGCCTGTCTTCCACGCCAATGACAGCGGGAGTGTAGAAATGAAGTCATTTTAAAAGTGGTTCTGTGCACACTCCAGTCAGCTGGAGAAAGGCAAACGGGGTTAAAACTGGTGCCTGCACAGGTGTGAGGGCAGACAAAAGCAACACCACATGGAAATCTCCCTTACTGTGAATCAGCGGAAGTGCAACAACATTCAAGCTCTCCTGCTAGGTATCAAACCAGGATTTCAACCTGCCCCGAAGCCCTGCTCCAGAACTGCTGTTGAATGTTTGGCAACATTGCCTGAATGGACCTTTTGTTCCTGATCAGATTGGGAAGGAAGAAGGGCAAGAAAGCAAAGAAAAGGCTCCCTTCAGTCAGGAACTGCAAATGGGGCTCTACGAGGCAGGCAGGTCAGCCATGTGCTGCAAAGGAAAGACAGACCTGCACATAAACGAGTGTTCAAAAAAGTCTGCAGCTCCCAAAGAAATGCCACCCTTTCCCGAGCTGCCAGCAACACCCGGCTCCCCCAGCGGCCTTACCTCCCTTTGAAAAACATCATTTTCCACCAGAATTGCTCGGTTGTACTGAAAACTGTCCTGAGATGTAGAGTGCAAGTAGGAGCTCTGCAGCACCGAAACCGCTGTCTGCAAAAGGGGACTC